CAACTATTTGCAAAAAAACAATAAAAGATGAGACTTAGTCTTAAATTTGATTCCCAAACCTTAGAAGAACGTCATGAGAAAGAGAAGTTACAGGCAATTTTAATTTTGACCACAGATACATACTACAAAACAAAATATTAGGGGCTGGGGATTTAGCTCAGTGGCAAAGCGCCTGCCTGGCAAGCACAAGGTCGTGAGTTCGATTCCTGGTACCAGAAGAAAAACAAAAAACAAAACAAAACAAAATATTAGCAAGCCAAATACATCAATATACAATCATAAAAAAGCTAAATTTAATTCAGCATTTCAAGGTTGGCTTAATGACAGAAAGTCAACTTAACCCAATCACATTAAAAGATTAAAAAACAAAATAATATGACCATATCAGTGATAAAGGAAAAGTTTTTAATACAACTCAACAACTATTCATGATTAAAAAATAAAATTTGCCAGGTATGGTGGTACACACCTGTAATCCCAGCTGCTCAAGAGGCTGGGGCAGAAGGATCACAAGTTCAAGTCCAGGCAGGGCAACTTAGTGAGACCCTGCTTCAAAATAAAAAATAAAAATGGCTTGAGAATATAGCTCAGTGCTTCCTGGGTTCAATTCAGGGTGTCACAAAAACCAAACCAAACCAAAAACCACACCTCTAGCTGGGCATGTAGTTTAGTGGAGAGTACTTTTCTAGCATGCATGAGACCCTGTTTTGATACACAGTACTGCAAGGAAAACAGCAAAAAATAAAGGTCTTCAGAAACTAGGAAGAAAAGGGTACCCCTACAATGTAAGGTGTTTTATTTATCTATCTGATTTGTTGCTCAGTGGAACTTTACAAACTATGGTAGAGAGGCTTCAGGGGCAAAAAGAACCTTTGTACATGTTGGTGAGGATTAAACTAGTACAACCACTATGGAAATCAGTATAGAGATTCCTAACCAAACTCAAACTAGAAATTCCATTTGACCCAGCTATAACTAAATCTTAGAGGTGGCCTATACACCCATCAGCAGACGAACAGATAACCCAAACGTGGCACTCACACACGATGAAGTACTACTCTGTCACAAAGGAAGACACCTTTGAGTCATCTGTAGGAAAATGGGTGCACCTGGAGACCACAATGTTACGTGAAATAAATCTGACACACGAGCTTAACTATCACATGGCTTCTCTTATATGAGAAACACAAACTAAAAATGAAGAGCAAGATACAAGACAATAGGAAGTAAAGTGAGACATCTTTCTCAAATGGGAAAGGGTTCCAGAGATGGAAGGAAAGGGGAGGGAGGGCAGGGAATGAAAAGCGGGATTACGATGCACTGTGCACATGGACCAACTCCATACAAAGAGTATAAACATTCTGTACCACAAACACAGGTAAAATAAAACAAAATAAAATACTGAAAATACAATTTCCGACACCCAAAGTTCTCTGTGGAAATACAGAAGGGCCAAAAATTAGCCAACAACCCTTTTAAAAATGTATAAGGACTTTTTCCACATGATACAGATTATGTAGGTGCAGTACACTTCAAAGCAGAAAAAAATGCTCTTAATAAATGCTGTTGAGATAATTTGGCATAATATACAAAGTAAGTAAGTGAACCTAGATCCCCAGATTACACTGTACACACACACACAAAAAATCATTTCCACATAGATTTTAGAGTTACATGTAAAAAAACAAAAAAAGCATTTAAAAAACAATGTAGACTATCTTCAAAAATCTGAAATGGAAAAACATTTCTTAAGGTACAGAAAATACTTGGACAGACTTTAAGCATTTAAAGTAGGTAGTCTAATCACCAAATTCCTACACTCACGATGGAACAGCAAGCCATGGAGAACTTTGTGAATCACTTACAACTGACAACGGGCTCACCCAGAACACACACACCCAATGGAAAACAGAAAAACCCTAGATACTCTAAAACGAAAATCTCAACACCAGCATACATAGGAAAAATCTACATGCTCATAAACCACTGGCAAAAAGAAACTGAGCTACAACTGTAAATTATTAGGCTGGCAAAAATTAATGGTCTGACAATTCTAAGTACTCGTGAAAATGGCAAAGAACAGGAACTCTCATACTGTAGGTACAAATATAAACTGAAACACAGCTTTGGCAAATAGACGGGCATAATCTGGTATAGATGAAGAAACATATACTCTACCACTCAAAAATTCCATTTCTAGGAAATACTCGCAAGGACACAGGACATGTATAAAAGAAAACCTATTTATAGTAACCAAAGGTCCAAAATTATTTATATATTTATCACAGAACAGATTAATTAAATATCTATAGTCAGACAATGACCTAGCAGACATAACTTTTATTTGTCTTTTTGAGACAGAGTCTTGCTATGCAGTTCAGTCTGGCCTTGAGCTCACTTTGTAGCCCAGGCTGGTCTCGAACTTGCAAGGATCCTCCTGCCTCAGCCTCCTGAGTGCTGGGATTATAAGTGTGTGCCACCGTGCCCAGTCAGAAATAAATGAACAGCAGTGAATTGTATCTGTATTTTGTAACACAGATGAGCATTAAAATATCACATAAAATCAAACTCTCCTATTTAGGGATACAAACACAGACCTAAATAAAAATAAGTAACGACCTAATTAGTCAAGAGGGTGGGCAGCCTCCTGGGGAGCTGTGGTTGGAGAAGCATGTGCTAAGGGTTTGGGGAGGGCTCCCGGCTCTTGCTTCTGCCCAGCATGCTGACCACACAGGTGTTCATCTCATCAAGCCCTGGAAATGTACACATTTACATTTCGTGTGCTTTTCATAGGTAGCATATTTCACGTAAGAAAGATCTTTTAAAATGAAAACAGCAATAAAATTGAGTTTAGGGGTTATTTTGGGGGGAAGGGGTAGAACTGAGGGGCAGACTAAGAACTTCAAAGGTTTGTAATGTTTTACTTCTCAGACTGGGTAGTGGGCTCACTGCTGTGTCTTCTATTGTTAGATTTTGCCAATGTACCTCATATATTTTTCTTTGCATAGTATCACCAAAAGCACAACTCATAAAAGAAAAACTGATGTTATAATTAATTAAAATTAGAAACTTCTGCACCTCAATATATCTGGCTGTACCAATCCAACCTACACCCTTGAAAAGAATTTAACCTTTTATTGTCACACAGAAAATGGTTAGAGAATTGGATTGCTGGACTGACCTGTCTACCAGTGCCTTATGCTGTGCTGTCTCTAGGTTTCAGGGTTAAGATCAAGTTTGGGAAAGTGCAAGTAGGCCTGTTATACTGCAAATTTGGGGGCTTTTACAGCAGCAGCAAGCATGGCTTACTCTTTCGAGGGCCGCTATACGGATGCTGATGAGATAGAAAATTGAACATCTTATCAATTTTAATGATTTTTTTTGTTTTGTTTTTTGTTTTTCTGAGACAGGATCTTGCTATGTAACCCAAACGGACCTCAAACTCACAATCCTAGTGCCTCATCCTCCAAAGTGCTGGAATTACAGGTGTGTGCCATCATGCCCAGCTCAATTTTACCAAATTTCCGCAAGGATGAAACTTTTGCACTTCAAATAACACCATCAAGAAACTGAAAAGACACTCCATACAAAAGGTGAATATATTTGCAAATTACCTATCTGATAAGGGATTTGTATCCAGAATACACAGAAGAGCTAGATTTCAATTCAATGACAAGACAAATAACACAATTTAAAAATGGCAAAAGACTGCAATAGACTTTTCCCTGAAGAATAAATACAGAAAGATGTGCCAACGAGCACATAAAAAGATCCTTAACAAACAGTATAAGATCCTTAGGAAAATGCAAATCAAAACAGCAGTGAGACGCCACTTTGCACCCATCAAACACGGCTACAACCAAAAGGACAACTGACAGGAAAGGACAGGAGATTAAGACTCAACATTCACTGCATGAGAGAATGAAAATTGGAGCAGCCATACTGGGAAGAAAAACAATTCGAAAGTTCTCCAAGTTTAAACACCGAGATTCCATGTTATCAGCAAATTTACCTGTAGATATCTAGCAGAGTTGAAAACAGGTACACACAGGACTTACACACAAATATTCACAGTGGCATTATTTCTATAACCACAATGTGGGAACAACCCGAATGCTGGTCATTTGACAAATGTATAAAGTTTTGGTTTTGTCAAAATAATGGAATATTGGTACTGCTGCAAGCTACAACAGGGATGGGTGAATCTCAAAAATACTCTGCTTGGTGGAAGAAGTCAGATACACAAGGTCACACAGTATACAACTTCATGTACGTGAAACATCTGGAACAGACACCACCACAAGCAGGTCAGTCTCAGGCTAGTGCTGGTGTTGGGAAGAAAGGAGGAGTGGCCAGACAGAAAGGTTCTTTCCAGGATGATGAAAATACTCTTAGATCAGCTTGCAGTGATGGCTATGCAACTCTACAAATACACTAAACACCATCCCACTGTACACTTAAAATAGGTGAATTTTAAATATATAAATAATAATCAAGCTATAGAAAGTTGCCAACCATAGTAGCTTCCATACATATTACTGTATTTTTCTGAAAGTTACTTACAACACAGAACATGAAGTTGTTCTACTGATAGTCTGCCTCCTTCTAGTCTCTTCTCTTTCCCCCACTAAGGGAGAAAAAGTGCAAGGACATAGTATCAGAAATAGTATAAACCTTCACAAACTACAAAACACTCTCAATTCCGAAGCTGAGAATATTTCTTAGGGCAGATAATGTATAAAATGAATTTTAAAAATAAAATAGGGTCATTTTCAAAATTCTGTGTGACATAATACAGGGCTGCATCTCATAAAACCTTGAGGAAAGAGTTTTTAAAACAACTTTGTACAAGGTAGGTAATTTTCCAGGAATTGTCATGTTTCCATACAATAAATAAAGCGCAGAGCACTTTTGCATCAGCTAATACAATCAGTTATTTAAGGGCAATTCTTTGTAAATATTTGTCTTTCCAAAAAAAGTTCGTAGGAGGACTGTTTTACCGTGGCTGTGAGGAGGAAACTGCCAGGCCTTGTCAGCTGAGGCACAGAGGTCCCTGCGATCGCCATGGCAACCGTCTGGCTAATCATGCTTCCACTCTCACTGTCGTAGTCCTCAGTGGCAGTGCAAATTGGTCTTCCACGTTGATTGTGAGTTTCTGAAAGGAAAAGAAGGAACAAAACCGTTCAACTAACAGTTGTTAAACACACAATTCCTTTTCCTATCCCCCACTATTCTTTAAAACAAAAACTTCCCACGTACAGCTGGTCTTGGAACACTACTGTGGGGGGAGATGCCTGCAGAGTTGGCCATCCACGTGAAACTGGAGGCCTCTCCAACAGCGTATGGACTCACAGCTCACTCCTGACTACAGCCTCACTAGTACCAGCAATAGTTGTGTAACCCGTATGTTCTATGTTATCTATATTACATACAGTGAAAACTAGGCAAGAACCATGAGAGCCAACCTTTTACGACCCTGGGTGATTACCAGCCAGAGGAACTGCTCCTGCTGAAGGGAGCGGTATCACACAGCACTCCCAATACTTGAGCTCGTTTTAACAGCAATAAAAGGTGACTAAAATTATTACAGCAGTATAATGTGTACTATAGTTAATTTCATGCAGTTATGACTTAATACTGCATTTTTATTTCATCTATGCATCCGTCCTGTGGTGCTGAGATCCAACTCAAGGGCACTCTACCACTGAGCTACATGCCCAAGTATCTTTGTAAATTTTTTTTTGTTTGAAACAGGATCTCACTGAGTTGCCCAGGTTGGCCTTGAACTTGAAATCCCTGTTTCAGCCTCCCCAGTGCTGGGATTAATACTGTGTCTGCATTTGTTTACAGTTCTCTCAATGCAAATGGCACCATGTACAGTCTGGGCGCATAAATTTTGATAGATACTTTTTTTTTAATCTTTTAGAAACAGGGTTTCACTATGTAGGCTTTGAATTCACTTTGTAAGCCCAGGTTGCCCTCAAACTCACAGCAATACTCCTGTCTCAGCCTCCCAAGTGCTGGGATTATAGGCGTGTGCCACCATACCCAGCCAAGATTTAACTTTTTATAATAGACTTCTATCTATTTTATGGAAGTAAATGATAAAATAGACTATTATCCACATAAATTTCATATATTCATAAGATACCTGACTTTTCTTTACGTATCTTTAACATTCTAAGCTATGGGGATTGTTTTACCAAATGGTTGCAAATCTTTAAAAAAAAGGGTTATAAATGAACCTGCACAGTTCAAACTCATTTTTTTAAGGCCCAAGTGTAATATTTATCATTCGAGTTACTTCTTTTTTTAGTATATGTGCAGCTGAAGCAAGCACAGATTTACTTCTTTTAAATGTTTCAAACATTAATTCATTTCTACAGTAATAATTTGTAACTTGTACAGAACTTTAACTTAACACAGATATAATATTTCTGGCATCAGGTAAGGAAACCCATGTTAGAAATCAGAATCCTGCAAAGACTATATTTAACCATATTGGGCCATCAGTTTCTTGAAGGCCCTGTAGTTATCTCTGTAGCACCAGCACCTGCCAACTCTCTTAGTACACGCCAGGGACCCAGGAAATATGCTCACCCCCTTGGTACCGGGAATCGAACTCACGACCTCGCACTTGCCAGGCAGGCGCTGTGCCGCTGAGCTAAATCCCCAGCCCCTAAGGAAATATGTTTAACATCACTGAACTGAAATACTTTAGCAGGCTAATTACTAGTTTAAATTCCTACATCTGCCTTACTGAAAACATTTTAGCAACCTAAATTCTACATTTAAGTAAATTCTAAACATGTGAAGCAAAAGGAATAAAACTTTGTGGGTTATGGTTTTTAAAAAGTAATATAACTTAACCAGGCATGGTGGCGCACGCCTGTAATCCCAGTACTCGTGAGGCTGAGGTATGAGGATCACTGTGAGTTTGAGACCAGCCTGGGCTCTAGCTCAAGGCCAGCCTGAACTGCATAGCAAGACCCCATCTCAAAAAGACCAAAAAAAAAAAAAAAAGAAAAAAAAGTAATATAACTTCAATTTACTAACCTAGTACTGGCAATGAAGCATAACTCTTGGTATTTGGGTGAATCTGAATTTCAATTATGTACATACATGACTAACAGTGACAATGAAGGTAGCAGATAGCTGTCAAGTTTTCTTGTAGTTTTAAAGATGCACAATTAAATCCATCATAAGAACTTATGGGAATCTTATACTACAGTATCGCAGTCAAAAAATATGGTTAAATATTTACAATCAACTTTTATCAGTGTACATGTCCTTACGTTTGTTCTCCTGAAGTAAGATCTTTATCCCTGAGGTACTTTTGCCACTTTTAGACAACAAGCTTTAGAACCTGCTCCATCGCACTAAGTACCTGTAAAGTCATACAGCTGAGGCACAGTCTCCATGATGATGCCAATCAGAGGTAGATACAACATGGCCACTCGAGCTTTGATCTGAGGGTCAGAGTACCGCGGGTCAGAGTCGTGACTAGACAGTAAATTGTGCACCATATTGATGACTTTCTTATGCAATCCAAACAGTCTATTTAAAAAGAAGAGATGAAGAAGTAGGAAGGTCACAGAGATTAGTTAGTACCTTTAAAACAAACAGTAAGTCATGGTATTTAACCGATTTTGTGCAATTTCTTAACTCTGCCATTTATTTGCACACATCCCTAGAAAACATTTCTCACTTAAAATAAATACAATGATTAAAAATATAGAAGTGCAGAAATTAAGAACTTAAGAAAAATTAAATACTATACAAATATACCTAAAACACTGAACATTTTGACATTAACTCCCTATGAGTGCATCTGAATGTTAAAGAACTTCAGAAAACCTATAGTAGCATTTTTTAAAAAGTCAATTATAAACAGCTTTCTCACCAAATTAAATCTTTTCATATTTACCAAAAATAAATTATATCCTTCTCTGAGAGAGAACTCTTCTACCAGATGTACTGTGTAGTCCACAGGCTGACATCTTGCATATACCCCTCCTTCAGACCCTTGGGATTTTTCTAGCTCCCAGTCCCCTCAGTTTCAACTGGGCTAATTAATGCACTAGCAAGCATCTCATCTCCACACATTCTTGTCTCTGTTCTTAGATGAAGGCACCTGGACTGTGCGAACCATCCTACTTAAAAACTCATCCACTCCAATTCCAACGGCCCTTCAAGCTGTACCCAGCAGCAGTTTCAGATTCCATTCTTTCCTGACACTTCTTACTATCAATCTCCACGGAAGATCTAACCTCCAACTTCCTCTAGGAAGAAAAGGCCATTCTAAATTTGCTTGGCTAAGTTTTTCAGTGCAGGCCTACCTTTATCCCTTCCTCTTTCCTTTTTGTCTCAGAGAAGCAGCTTCTCCTTACGGTTAACAGCTTCAACCTCTCCCCTCACTGAGCTCCGCCCAGCTTTTCTCAAGTAAGCCTTTCCTAGCTTGAAGCACACGAAACGTCTCCAAGCTGGAAGTGATGACGTAGTGACAACTAGTCCTTCTCCAGAGCCCTGGACCTTGTCCGCCTCCTGGCACAGGTGCATACAGGAGCTAGCTGGAGATCTCTTTCTTCAATGTTTTTATTCAGAAAATATACTTTTAGATACTCTCAAGAACCATATTTAACAGACATATCTTAGTACTCCTTTTCCAGTGCTACTTACTATTATGTCATCTGATATGTTCTCATTATTTTCTCTGATAGTTCCCATCCCTCTTTCTCCCTATCATCACAGTTCCAAAGCTCAGATTCTAGCTGCCTGCTTTTTAGGCTTTCCTCTTTCATGTCTTGTATCACCAGTGCAATTCCCAAACCCTGATCGGCAGATATCCGTTAGCTCTCAGCAGTCAAAAGATCCAAGGTTCAGTCCATGAAAATCTACTCATCTGTTTATACGAAGCTTATTCATGTTTACATTACTCAGTCACATTCAACTATTAAATACATATTTATGTAAGCCCTATAATATCCTATTCTGAATATTTGAGAAAAGACATTTCCCTTATTCTCAAGTTCACTTTAGCAAGAGAGAAACACAGACGGCAAACAGTAATTTGTCAAATGGTATATAGAGATAAATCCTCTAATCTTCTAATGAACTATGTACAAAATTATCATTTAACCATCTTACTCTTTAAAAAAGTCTTAACTAGGGGCTGGGGATTTAGCTCAGCGGCAAAGCACCTGCCTGGCAAGCGCAAGGTTGTGAGTTCGGTTCCTGGTACTGGAGAAAAACAAAAAAACAAACAAACAAAAAAAAGTCTTAACTTTCTAACTATATTGCAAGATTCTAAAAAGCAAATCTTTGATCAATTACAGAACATACTGGTGCCTTTTAAAGAATTATTCTTGGTTAGTTGGTAAGCAGATGAAGTAAAAACACAAAAATTCCTTTCAAAGACATAAAAATGACATATGCAGCACATCAGCTCCGTACCTCTCAAGAAGTAAAATTTAGAGATGATTTGAGTTTTTCATAGTCATTCATTCATTCATGAAATACAGTAACTGAGTGTTCACCCTGTACCAGACGCAATGTCAAGGTGCTGGGAATCCAGCACTGAACAGGAAAGACAAGGGACCTGCTCTGTGCTCTCCCAAGTACACACTGTAATGGCAGAAGACACGTAACAAAGGGCAAGTTTCAGGTAAGTGCTCTGTAGAAAGCAAACAGGGTTGGATGGGTAAGGATGACTGTAACAAGGCCACCATAGTGGTAATACTGATTGGTTGGTCATGAAGGCCTCACAGAAAAAATGCTATTTGAGTAGAGACGTCAAGAATGACAAGGAAGAAGGGGGGGTTCACTGCTTCAGGGATAGAACAGGGTGAATGTGAAGGCCGTGTGGTGGGAAAGGGCCTGGCACATTCAAGAAACTCAAAGGCCAAAATGTAAGATCTCAGTATGTGAGGAAGGAAGACAGCAGTGAGAGCAGACCACAGCCAGATATGCAGGGTTCTGACGACCATTTAAAAAGCTTGGATTTGACTGTGCATGCTCTTTAATGCTAACATGCACACACAAGTTTTGAGCAAGATACTGGCATAATCAGATTCCCATCTTTAAAAAATCATTCAGGCTGCTATGCAGAAAATGACATTAGGGAGGCAAAACAAAGCATATAAAGAGAAACAGCAGCAAGGATGGTAAGAAGTGGCTGAACTTGAAATATTTTCGAGGTAGTGTCTGTAGGAGTTGCTAATGGAAAAGAATAGGAATAGGAAGAAACAAACAGAAGTAAAAGAACAGGTAGTAATAAACACAACTCTCATTACTTCTTGGGCTTTACCAAAAACCTCTCCAAGGAGACAAAGGTAGTCTAGCTTAGGCAAAAGAACAGCACAGAATTATTTCATAAATCCTATATTCCACATAAGCTTATCTTAATAAAATTGGTTCTTGATGTGGAAAAGAAATCTCACTGCAGAAATAGCTGTTAGAATTCTCTATTCTATCAGACAGCACTGGATACCCACATCACATGCACTTCCCCTGTCTTCCTTCCTTCCTTCCTTCCTTCCTTCCTTCCTTCCTTCCTTCCTTCCTTCATTTATTTATTTATTTATTTAACCAGGAATTGAACTCAGGACCTTGCACTTGCCAGACAGGCTGAGCTATATCCCCAGCCCTATCTTCCTTCTTAATTGACCTGAAACTTGCTCAGATCCCACTATGGCTAAGGATAGGCTGAACAGATCTCTAGTTTCAGGAGTACAGCCTAATTGGACCAGTCCTATTTCTTAGAGTAGCCAGTTGGCCAGGTGCTTTGTGCAAGAGACAAATGTTCATCATCTCACTTCTTCCTTAACTGAGCAGGTTTAACAACAACAAAGTCCTATGAACTACACACAGCTTGGTGACACAGTTGATTTACACTTAGGCACAAGTGCCTCATCTGCACCACATAGCCCTTGACTGACACACGTTGAAGGACTACACTGAGCAGCGCTGGTCCAACTCTCCCAGAGGCCTGTACAGTTCTGCAGTGACTGCGGGGCACCGTGCAGACAGGTGAGCTCCACAGTACATAGGAAAGATGGCACACACGCTCCTGCTGCACACAAACAGCACATGTGTCATTTCAACCAGCCGTGAGACTACCATGCAGTCATGACAGACAGAACAGATGCTCCTAGCAAGGTTCAGACATGTATAAAACTGAAGTCATGATGTTATCTATGGAACTGATGATTTTACTCTGCTAAAACCCTTACTTTTCTTTCAAATATGAAATAATACATTTCTTTCCTTTAATAGAGCCAGTTCAAAGAATTTTATTTTTTTATTACAACCAAAAACATCCTAATATATTTTGTAAAAATATGAGAATATAGATTCAAATGATTGAGCTAGATCAGTTGTTAAATAAAACAAGTGTGTTTAGACAAGCTATTTTCAGCGTGACCTTTTCCCAAACAATGGAGCCCATAATTTTTTCAAATAACTTCATACTCACTTTGTCAAATGGTCAAGGGGCGGGAGGCTCAGAGTTTCACACACGGATCTGTATTCTCTGTATTGGTCTGCACACACCCTAACCTACCCTCCGTGGACACCCATGAACACTTCTTTAGACCCTGACAGTTCTGCAGAATGCAGGGTAAAAACCACTTCTTTAAAGCATATTCCAAACAGAGGAGGTTGCCATTTTTTTAAAAAAATGCAGTCTTTCATTTACAGAAGACTTGGCCTTTTCAAATTTATGTCCCTGACATATTACTAAGAACTTTACAAACCTCTTTTATCCTCACATAAATCAGACAACCCTTGTAAAACCTGCAGAAGGGTATCTCTTTTTGTTTTCCTGAGCTTTTATATGAGGTTAAACTGCATTATAAACTTAAATTTTATCCAAATAAATTATGATCATACAGATTGTTTTTTAAGTAAGAGACAGTGTCTTGCCCCAACTGCCCTTAACTTTACAATCCTCCTACAACAGCCTTCTAAGTCGCTGAGACTATAAGCAACTTTACCCTACCAGCTTCCTACTCACACTTCCTAAAGAAACTATCAAGATTGACTTCGCTCACAAGGGATGCTAGACCCTAACACTGTCAGTCTACTATAAATTCAAATCATAAGACAATCTCCATTCTTTTCTTACAATACAGGGTTTCTTTTTCTTTTTTCTTTTTTCTTTTTTTTTTTTTTTGAGACAGGGTCTCTCTATGCAGTTCAGGCTGGCCTTGAACTCACTTTGTAGCCCAGGCTGGTCTTGAACTTGCAACGATCCTCGTGCCTCAGCCTCCCAAGTGGTGGGATTACAGGCATGCACCACCAGGCCCAGCTTCAATATAGGGTTTCTAAAAACCTTCTAAAAGCGTACATAATACTACAAGTTTTCAAAACCTAAGGATATTTGTTTAAAGCTCAGTTTTTGAAATAAAATACTGTATCAGTAGGCCAGCCACAATAAATTTCCCTCACAAGAAATGAAACAGAAAACTAATTTATTTTTCTGAACTAAAAAGCATCTACTAAAGTTCAGTAAGTCTGAGCCTACTTACTAATATGCATAATTTATTTTCCATGGTATTAAGAAAATGCTAAACCATGGTACACCACCAGTTTTAAGACAAATCACAAATTGAGATGACAAAATGTGAAAAAGTCTTAAAATTCATTAAATATAGAAATAACATACATACGGAACTTAGTGAACAGAGGAGTAGAAAAAGAAGGGCAAACCGTATTCTTCTGATTATTAAGTGTAAGTGGAATACTTCTGTTCCTTTCTCCAAAATAAAACTGATACTCTGCAAGGAGAAACTGGTTCCCTCACCCATCAGCATCGGGGTCTAAAATGACAGCCAGCTCTGTCAGCACAAGACCGGCCAGGTAGTGCTGCTGGCGGAAGGGCACGGACAGCTCAAACATGTTCGCGATCTTCTGGTCCTGTGCATTCGTGGAGAAGCCGGAACTCTGTGGGAGCGTGAAGGAGAACAAAACTGTTACAGCTGCGCACCAGAACATCCTACACTGAGAGAATTACAACAAATGACACGTGAGCAGGGATGGCAGTGAGGTAAACTTTATGTAGGACTACTTTATATGTATTATTACTGTTGTAAGCATTAGAAAAAGCGCTCTGCACAGAAGACTATGATAAAATTACTTATTTATTTTATTATTGAGATTAATTTGATAGAAAATTTAAAGAATCCCCTTTTTTTATACTGAAACTTTTCCATTTGTTTTTCTCCTTTATTCTCTTAGCCACCTAACATCTCAATACCATTCGCTGAAGGGAAAAAAGGCAAATAAATCCAAAAGGTATAGTACACTCATCCCAGAGTACAAGAAAAATATTCGCAGTCAAGGCCAGTGGCTTCCAGACAAATTTCAAATACCAGTGAAATACTTTTTCAGGTAACAGACTACTCCAGAATTACTGCCGGGTGTGGTCTACTTGCAGCACTTATTTACAACTGTACCACTGCAAAACAGCACCCCAAATGCCCACGACTGCATGCTCAGTACCCTGAGGACTTCCACAGAACAACAGATTTCAGATTTCTCTGAGGGGCAATCTCCTCCCTGATGAGCACATAAACTTTGTTCTCACTTCTCAAAGAGGATGATTCTGTTATCAGTTAAAATCTCAAAATTGTGCACTTAGATGAGAAAGGTGACAACAGAAGAAATTCTGTGAGAATTTCCTAACTGGAGGAGATGCTCAGTAAGACATTAGAGCGTACACAAGTGCGTTTCTTTAAAGGCTGCAGGAACTGTCCTTATGATTAATTTGTCTGTGACCAGGCAGCCACATTTTCGGCAGAGGAAAGGGAAAGACCAGCCTCCTCCATTAGAGGCAGGCATGCTGGCCAGGTATGTTGCAACATGAGGATTAAGATGTTTTGCAAAGATAAAATAAAAGGCTGTGAGCACTCTCTGATGTTTTTTTCCTTTTATCAAGCATGTGAGATTGATTTAGCCTAGAGGCTTCCATTCAGGAATTAAATACCTTGAAAACAGAATTAAGAAGTGCAGAAGATCAACTTTGACTTTAGACATTAAGAGGTTAATGTGGTAATCTCTCAAGGTGTTTATCTCAAGGGCATGAAAAAGTGTTTCACTGGAAAGGAGGAAAATTCTGGCTTCTGATACTAAACAGTAAAGTCCCTTTAAGTGTAATCTATCTGAGAGGACATACGTGCTAATTATTATAATAACCCTTTTCAATCTTCAGAGAAAGTATGAGCTAGCTACTTAAGTGCTACCCATGGAAAGCTATAAACATCCACCTAGTTTCCTTTGAGGTTTCTGAACAGAAGAGAGGCAAGCAGGGCTTGGAGGCCTGCATTGCAGCTTTGCTTTGCCCCTCTTCTGTTCACAGGTATCGATCCCTAAGAATCATCGTGTATCCCAAAGGACCTCAGTGTCTACCCAAAAAGAACTCAATTTGTGAAAACATCTAAAAAAATGGATTTATTTAAGTGAATTTATTCTTTTTGTTTGTTTGTTTGTTTTTCTCTGGTACCGGGAACCGAACTCACGACCTTGCGCTTGCCAGGCAGGCGCTTTGCCGCTGAGCTA